TTGAGCTTTGGAACAATCTTGTTTTAACCTTCTCACCAATGAAATCCAGACGATTTTCAGTGGTGGAGAAGTGGTTTTAGAGTCTTGTATAGGAGAGGGACACCCCTCTCTCCTTGTCTCTCATTTGCTTGTATTTATGGCTTATAATGGTAGCATGTTTGCTTAGCATGTTTTGGCTTCATTTCAGCAATTATTTGGTGTTATTTGGCCATGCTATGACTCTGTCTAAAGTTGGTTTGATGGCCTCTTGCATGCTCCATGCACTTGTAGTGCATTTCCATTCACTAGCCTAATGTGTATCGTGCTTTTGGTCATCATTCTAGCATGTTTTTGGCTCAAATCTAAAAAGATTTTGTTCATGTTTTAGCATGCTTAAGCTCTTATTTTTGTTGTTTTGGCCATGCATGCATTGCTTTGTATAGCCCTGGTTCAATCTTGCTCACTAGCTTTGTGTATTGAGTCCATTAACATGCATTGCTTGGACTATTTCCATGATTTGACATCATTTGAAATGTTATTTCAGTCCATATAATGTTGCCATACACTCACTTTTGTCACTCTTTCAATGCTTTGGAGAGTTAGTGTCTTATGCCTTAAACATGAGCCATTGCGTATGCCATCTTGCCTAAGCTTGTGAGCTATGACTTCAGTGTATATTTGGTCCTATTTTGCTATGATATAACTTTAATTTTTGTTGGTAAAGTCATCTCATGCTTGGTTTTGGTAGGTGTAGTGTAATCATGCACATTGGCCTAGCTTACTTGATGTTTTGACCCTTCATGCTAGTTTGTTTTGGCTTTGCTCCATGCATGTTTTAGCATTATTTTGGCATACTTTAGGACTGTTTTTGGTTGTACTTGCCATATGGTTCTTATATTGCATAGCTGTAGTGCAATTGGCCTTGCTAACTTTGAGTTTTGAGCACCATAGCATGCTTAATTTGTGACATGTACATGATTTGGCATCATTTATCATGACATTTAAGAGCATATAGACTTGCCATGCTCCTACTTCTTTCACCCTTTGAGTGCCTCTAAGGGTTATGCATTGTTGTCTAGCTTATGGACCAATATGTGTGCATGCATGTCTTGCCTTTTGGTGCCTTAGTTTTGGTGTTAATGGCCACTGATTTGGGCATGGCTGAGGTCTGTCCATTTTTAGTTTAAGTCCATTGAGTATGTGGTTTGCATGTTGTTGCATGCCTATTGCATTGCATGTTGTTGCATTCGTGTTATATGGCCTCATATTCGCCTGCTTGTGTTACTTTGTTAAGTTAATCATGCATGCATTACATTGGTCTAATATGCTTATCTTTGCATGTTGTTGTATGCTAGTTGCATTGCATGACATTGTTGTTGGCATACTCATGTTGCATTAGCTTTGCTTGCATGCTTAGGTTGCATTGCATTGAGTTGGCATGCCATTAGTTTTGATAAGTCAATCATGTTGCATTGTATGGCATTTTGCATGCTTGTTGCATTGCATTGTATTTGCATGCCTTACCTCTTGATCAAACATGATAGATGTTTAGGCATTTGTGTGTGTTCATGCATTTCATTCACATTGAATTGTGCAACTCGGCCTCTTTGGCCATCATGCATCAGAGTGCGTGATTGATGGCTCGAGAGTCGAGCATTACACTCCTTTGAGCTTCAAACATGATAAGGGTGTAATTGCACAACATTTTCTTGCAAATGTATTACCATGCCTCTGTTTGTGCTCTACTGCAGCAAAAGAAACAGTTTGCAGGAAGAGATGGCAGATCGACTATCCAGTGTGTTGATCGGCTAACAATATTTGGCTGATAGCATAAAAATTGGTCGATGACCATTTTCCTTTGGCCGATGGCCCTATCTTTTGGCCGATGGCCTCTCAGCATGTCCATGAGGTGGTTCAGAAGCATCACAGAGATTTTCACAGTTTCAGAGGTGAATAAGTGTGCAAACAGAGGGAACATGGGGCATGGCAACGGATTTCGGAGCGAAACCTATCGAGCATGCATTTGTCCCTCCTCTTGAGGCCGCTTTAACTGTTTTATAACTTAATTAATTTGCTTAATTAGTTAAGAGTTTTGTAATAATTAATTAGCTAGAATAGTTAGTTAATTAGTTGGTTTGTATTATTTATTCGGACCCTCCGTCGAGAGGGCGAATTTTGTAATAAGTGTGCGTGAGTTTGTGAATGTCTTCCAACCCCACGTCTTTTTCCTTTTTACTTAACCGCTTACGATGGTTAGTTCTAGGTCATGTTTTGATTAGCATTCTTATGCTCGCATGTTTGCATCCATTCATTTGTATTGCATGCACCGGGCTCGGCGCATCATACTAACCACATTGTATTTCAATTCTTACTTGAATACATGATCATCAAGTTGCATCTCATATGCCATTTTAGAATAGCCGAGCCTATTTCTAGTTACATTTTGCATGTGTTGTATTAGACATCTTAACATAACTAGGATCATGCACGATTTCTAACTAGCTTTTGTTTTGGCTCGGAGTACTATGCAAGTTTTTATGCTTTAGCATCTTACATGAGTGTGAGTGTTGCCATGATAGCACGCTTGCTATGAGGCTATTTACTTAACTGATATAACTGCCTAAATGCCTGTGGGTGAATGTTAGATTATTTGAATTGGAACAATTCATCGAAATGCGAGTTTTAAGCCCACTTGAGGGCAGCAAAATCATGTTTTCTAAGCCCACCCAAGGGTGGTAAATCCACGTCTTAGCCTACTTGCGAGTAGCACCTTCAAATCATTTTCAAACAAACAAATGTGTTTGGTAACGTTTACATTTTCAGTTTATATTTACAAAAATTTTATAAACTGATTTTTGTTTATTTTTTGTTTATTTTTAAAAAAACATAAACTACAAACGCGTTTGGCAATTGACTTGCAGTTTAAAATTTTTTTAAAAAAGTGAGAAATGACAAGTGGTGGCAAGTGACGGCGAAAGACGGTGGTGGAAAGTGCGAGCGGTGGGTGGTGGGTAGCTTGGGGTGGTGGGTGGTGGGGTATGTAGTGGTGGGGGTGGGTGACGGGCGGGTGGTAGCAAGTGGTGGTGCGGGTGGTGGGTGGCGGTGGCGGTGGTGGTGGGGTGGGGGGTGGTGAGTGGCGGTGGCGGGTGGTGGGGTATGAGTGGTAGGTGGTAGCGGTGGTGGGTGACAGTGGCAGGTGAGTGGCGGATGGCTGGTGGGTGGTGGTGGGGTAAGTAGCACGTGGTAGTGGTGGGTGGTGGGTGGGTCGGTGGCAGGTGATAGCGAATGGTGGCGGCGGTTGGTACGGCGGTGGTGGTCTGCAGGGTGGGTAGCGGATGGGGCGTGGTGGTGTATGGGTGACGGGTGGGTGGTGTGCGGTGTGGTGGTGGCGATGTGGTGGTGTGTGGTGCGGGTGGATGTTTGGTGGTGGAGGTGGTGGCGAGTGGGGTAGTGGGTGGGGGGTGTGGTAGTGGTGGTGGGGGTGGGTGGTGAGTGACGGTGGTGAGTGGTAGGTGGTAGCGAGTGGTGGGGTGGTGGGTGGTGGTGGTGGTGGGGTGTCGTGGTGGTGGCGCGCGGCAAGGGTGGGTCTGTGGCGAGTGGGTGGCAGGGGTGTGGGTGATGGTCGTGGTGGTGGTGGCGACGCGCGGCGAGGGATGGGTGGTGGTGGTGGCGAGTGGGTGGCAGGTGGGTGGTGGGCGGGATGGTGGTGGTGGGGGGAGTGGTAGGTGTGTAGTGGCAGAAGAAGGTCGGTGGAAAATGGTGGTGGGTGGTGGTTAGTGTTGGGTGGTAAAAAAAAAAAAAAACTCAAAACTCAAAATGAAAATACATTTTTTGTGTTTTCATTTTTTGGCCAAATTTATAAACTGAGGCTACTGATTTATAAATCAAAAATTTTACCAAACAAGTTTTTATTTGAGGTTTTAAAATTTTTGTAAATATAAACAGAAAATTGAAAACGGAAGTGTTACCAAACGGCACCGAGATGTTTTGTTCCAACTTAGGCGATCTAGTCTATACTTGTATGCTGTGCGCATCACATAGTAATTCTAGCTAACAAACCGGACTAAGAACACTTGTGTTTTCAAAAACAAAATATCATGTTAGTAAAGGCCGATCTTTGATCGGGGGAGCAGGGGTACTCATTGCATGACCTTCCCTTCTCGTATCTAAGTTCCCGAGCCGAGGCAACTTTGGTGATGACGGACACGTGGCCTTAGACACAAGTCAGGGTTTCTTAAATTTTCTAAAAATAAAGCATTTAGGTGGCGACTCTATATCTGGCAAAGTAGTCCATGTTTGACACTTCTTTACAAAAATCAATTTTCCAAAACGATTTGCCGGATTTGGACTCTTTGGTGATTTATCGGTCTTGCATTGCACTTTGCGAGACTAGATTCAAAACCGTGACATTTGAGTCCGAACTGTAGTATGCTAATGAACAAACCGGATTTCGCACCAAATCTCGTGCGCAAGGGCCAGGACGTTCGGGCACGTCTACAAGCACCACCGTTATACAAATTATAAATATCAAAAACTCTAAAATTATGTGACATCATTTATTAATACATTAATTAATATACCAATTGATACATATAATATTATTCAAATTTTATGAATGGTTTGAGATGATCTAAATAAATATACTTTTTGATTTTTTTTATGAAATATGAGTTAGGTATGGATTGGTGAAATATGAGTTGGGTATGAATTGTGTTTGAAGTGATGTGGTAGAGAGGTGATGTGATTTAAATTAAATGATGTAACTTAAATAGGATAGTGATTTTTAAAATTTTTTAAATTATGATAAACAAGACCTTCGTCGGACCAAACGATAAACCTACCAATTCTCGAATTATGTGAACAAATTTAAATTAATTAATTTAAAGTTGTATATTTTTAAAAATTTTTCCCGCATATGACAAGTTAAAAAAACCAAAATCCCCTAAATTATTATTGTTATTAATAGTATTATCCATAATCAAGGTAATTAATCCGATAATACCATCGTCATCACTTCATTCATCAGAACCAAACAACCTTCCATTAATACTACTATATCATAACTCAACTCCATACACTCCACCATTCCCATCTCATCTAAGCCCAAACGATCAATCCCCTCAAAACCCCCCCAAAAATTCCAATTTAAAAAATCAAAAAATTAAAATTTAGCTGTTTCGATCGAATTTGGAGCTTGAATTGGCCTTTGGTCCTTCAAATTTCTAGCTAGGGTTTTGAATTTTGAGTTTTGAGTTTTCTTAAGGGCTTGTTTGGATTTTTCGTAATGGCTCAATCGACGAGCAGAGGAGGAGGAGGAGGGAGGTGCGTTGGTGAGTACATGGTGGGGAAACAGATTGGTTCGGGCTCGTTCTCGGTGGTGTGGCACGCGAGGCACAGGGTTCATGGTACGGAGGTAGCGATAAAAGAGATCGTCACGGAAAAATTGAGCAAGAAATTGCAAGAGTCTCTCATGTCTGAGATTGATATCTTGAAGCAGATTGACCATCCTAACATCATTCGCTTGCACGACATCATCGAGGTATGTGTATGTATATATGTATATGCAGTTTTTGGTGTTAGAATGAATGAATGAAGAAGAGAGTCTTAGTTTTTGATCTCCTGTTTGGTTGCTGAGAAATTATTCATAGGAAAAAAGAGTTATGTTATTTGGTCTCACCTTGATTTCATGTAGCTGTTGAATGTTGGACTAATGAAGCAGAGTAGGAGACTAGCTTTTAGATTTTTTGTCTTGCTGATCAAACTGGGTAAAAGAGAAGCGATTGAAATTTTCATTCTTTTTTAAGTTATTGGATTTTCGAGAAATTGAAACCTTAACATTATATGTCAGTTGATATAATTGCTTGATTAGAGTGAATGAGATAGAGTGAGACTAGTAATAAAGTGACTAGGAAATAAGTATTGTAAACTTTCAAGAAATGGAAAAAAGCTCATATCAATGTTTTTGCAGTGGTTAATGGGTAGAATGGGTGAGGTGGCAACTGGTGATACAGGTAGAAGAGAGAGATTTAGTTTGATCTTCTGTTTGGTTTCTGTGAAATTCATAGGGAAATAGTTATGTTATTTGGTTTTCTAGTAATAAAAAATCTCAACTTGAATGGTAGCTGTTAAATGTTGGATTAATGAAGCAGCATGGGAGACTAATTTTTAGACTACTTGTGTTGCTGATCAAACTGGGTCAAAGAGAAAGCATATGAAATTTTCTATTTTCTTTGAGTTATTGGATTTCCAAGAAATTGAAACCTCAACATTATAGAAGTTGATATACTTGCTTAATTAGAGTGAGTGAGATAGAGAGATACTAGTAATAAAGTGACTGGGAAATAAGTAAGTATTATAAACTTTCAAGAAATGGAAAAAAGCTCATATCAATGTTTTTGCAGTGGTTAAGGGGTAAAATGGGTGGGGTGGCAAACTGGTGAGACAGATAATAGAAGAGAAAAAGATAAAACTCTGGGTTTATATTTGATGTCATCAATTTTTTCGCTTTGAAAAGGCACAGTCTGGCTGAGCTGAAGAGTTTGTTTAAGCTCAGTTAAAGAGACATGAGGGAACTGGTGTAGCTTGTACGCTGCACTTTTAATTTAATGATATTTATTCCTAAGTTTCTGCCATTTGATTGGGGCAGCAGAATTGGTTAGATTGTGTAAGATTTTGTCTGTATGTGTTTTTGTTGTCAAAACTGATATTACTATAGAATAATTTTTTTTTTTTATTAAGTTTCATTCGATTACACAGGAGACTCTACGCATTTAAGATATGGTAATTACATTTGTGCAGTCTGATGACTGGGTGTGCTTTGCTTGTGTAGTATTATGAGTGTCTAATTCGTCTTACCTGATTTCATGTGTAAATTTAATTTTTTATTTATTTTATTTTTTATATAAGTTCTGCATGGCAATAATTTATGGTAGGGCCCTCACCCTAGGAGGCAGTTTGAAATCTTTCAATTTTGCTTCACTTTATTTGTTTCAAATCAAGTCTGATGTATTTGTCAATTAGGAACCTGGAAGAATACATCTTGTATTGGAATATTGTAGAGGGGGTGATCTTTATATGTATATTCATCAACGCCGAGGAAGAGTTCCAGAAAGCACAGCAAAGCACTTTATGCAGCAGCTAGGTACATTGAATTTTTTTCTTTTTCTTTCCTCGTTGTTTAGTTTTTTCACATCTTCAATGAGCTGTTACTAATGGTACTAGATTATGAATTATGCAGCGGCTGGTCTACAAATCCTCCGTGAGAATAACTTTATACATCGAGATCTAAAGCCACAGGTATGCTATTATCTTTCCTATTTTATGCATTGGTATTTGGTATATATATTGCATAAATTGGTGACTGGCATGACTTAGATGAATCTGGAAATTCCCATCTAACTGCCTGCCGCTTACCTATATATTTATGTTGGAAACAAAAAGTATGTGCCAAGAATTTTGTTTTTTAAAAGATTTTTTTCAATCTTATAAAAATGATAGCAACAACACTGTTAGCATGTTGGCAATTAGTTGGCTAAACCTCTTACAAGGTTGGAAAGATAGAGCGAATGTCACAAGGGTGGACCCAAAGTATAGCAGTTATGATCATATGTGGAGTTGCCTTAACTATCACTATGTTGAATTTATGAATCATTTCTGAAAAGCTTTGGGAGAATGTTTGAGCAAAATCTAAAACATGCAAAATGTTTTTGTTTGATGCTGAGGAGAATGGGCATGGAAGCTATTTTCTATCTAGGCAATAGATAGAATGGCATTAGAAGAAAGGAAAGATATGGGTTGTGTTTATTGGTCTTTTTGGCTTATGAATCTTGGAGACAAGTTTGATGGTTTTGAAAAAAATATTCATTAGAACGGGGAAAACTGTATGTGCAATCATGATAAGCTTACATCTACAGTTAATCTATTATGTCACCTTTTTCTACCCCTGGTGAATTAGGAGCATATATTACCTGAACTGGGCATTTATTTATTATGTGACCCTTTTTCTCCCCCTGGTGAAATAGTAGCTTATATTACTAAAACTGGGCCAGGGCTTGACTCTAGATTTTATTCATTTTTATTTATTTATTTTTCCGCGGGGGGGCGGGGAATTTAGCCTTTACATGAAAGATGTTTCAGAAGGAGGGACTATTGTAAACGCGAATCTGGCATACGCATATGGGCCTGATGTCCATGCTCTGTTATGCACGTGTTTCTGGCACGCTCTTCGCATTATGTTCTCAGAGTCAAGAATCAAAATTCAGGACATGAATGTGTGTGTGTGAAGAGAGAAAATCTGCCTTCTTTTCCTGGATATAGTTAAGCGTTCCCAGGTTTGAGCTTCCTTGGTTGTGGTTTCTCCTGTAGTGCTATTGGTCCAAAATATGTCTTTATGTTTCATAAATTCAAATTCTATGTGATGAAAAGAGTAACTGGAGGTTTTAAGGATCAGGTTATGGTCACGAGTTTGACATTTTGTCCCGCCAAATAGCTGACTTTTACAAGTTATCCAAATTGCCCAAGTAAAATCTAAAAGAATAATACTAGGATAAACATTATTTGTAATGAGTGTGGTACTCCATGGTGTTTTGCTGTCACGTTGAGAGGAGTCATAAAGACCTTTCATTGCCTTTTTTCTTTGGGGAAGGGAGGAGTTGGAACTTGGAACATGCATAGCTAAAGGGATTCAGACCACTTGCAAAGGTCTACAATTCAAAGGGTGAAAGTCATAAAATTGTGTTGTGCAAAGCAAATGGTTAAAGCTTTGTTGACAATTTTGATTTTGGATAGAATTGTTCCTATAGAACATGATGGGCCTAATTCTTTGTGAAAGCTACTACTTGACTTTTTATTAATGAAGCCACCAGTGTTTAAGAGCATCTCTCAAAAAACTTGCTTTCATCAACTTGCATATCTTGGTGCTTGTGTATCTGAGCACTTCAATCTTGTCTCTCTTAATTAGGAATCAAAATGCATTTTGTTGAATTTTTTGCATGGGGCATCTAGGATTAGAGATAGTTGAATAAACAAAGTGAGTAAAGAAAGTAAAAAAAATGAAGATAAGAATTGGAACTGAAGTGGGTTAATGATTTTCAGTTCTTCAAAGAATGATGGGGGAAATTTCTGATTGCAAAGGAATTTGTTTAGAATATAACAGTATCTTTGTAATTCTTTGTATGTGTGTATGCGTCATTTTTATATATCATCATAATGCGTATCATTTGTACAACAGAATCTCCTTCTGTCCACACATGATGACAATGCAGTCCTGAAGATTGCAGATTTTGGATTTGCAAGGTAAAGTTGTCATCAACATCATATATTCCTTCTTACCTATAAGGCCTTTTTTAAAAATAAAAAATAAATTCTTTAGGAATATCTGAAATGTTAAATTTAATTTTCCTTCGATTTTACCTCTCTCTCTCTCTCTCTCATTAAGCTTCTTTTGAAAGAAGATTTATTAGTCAATACATTTGATGGTTCACCTATTGACCCATTTACAGACATCTTTCACTTTGAGGGCTTTTAAAATACTTCTCTAGTTTTAAGTTGTTGAAGGCCATGTATTCAAAACTCTCCTTTCCGTGAATTTTTGTTCCAGGCCCCCTATTTGATTCCAAGGTTGGACAGCAAAAAGTGAGCGGGCCCTTGTAAGGCGAGCACCCTTTCTAGACAATAAAGAGAATAATAAATTGATATTATGTATTTAATTTGGCCACAATTGATGAATTATGGTCACAATCTTTTCAAGATTGACGATACTAACATTGCGTGCTCATCAAGTTACCCACAGTCTACCCCTTTATCTTCACAACTATTAGTTAATCCACAAACTTCTCAGGTATGCAATTTTCTTAAGTTTGTAATGTAGTTTGCTTTTAATAAAAAATAAATTGATTTCAATATATTCTCTCACACTTATTCATTTTTATTTTTTCAGGGGATGTAATTTGATGAAAGAGAGCTCAATCCCACGGGGGCAAGTAATTCTTAGATAATGAAAATTTTTTAGTCATTCACAACCTCCCCCACAAAATTGAAATGTAGTATTTTTATTTTATTTTTTACCGTAATTCTAAATTGGTTTTTTTTTTTTTTTTTTTGAGACATATTTTGAATACTTCAAATGGGTTTTATAGAATTTTGTTTGAGCCTTGGAAATTTTTTTAGTGTTGTTTTGGATGGACATATTGTAGTTTTTGGCATAACTTGATAATTATTATTTTTTAATTATTGATTTGATGAATTATATTGTTTATTCTTGAAGTAGTCATTTTGCTTCTTGTTTAGATGAATAAGTGCAAATATATATCGAATTGAGTGGCGTCATCAATTCATAAAAAATATAAATTAAATTGACATTATCTATTCTCTCACTATGAAATTAAGAACCACAAAATAAAGTGAGATTATGACATTCACCTAATTAGATTTATATACATATAATTTTTTTTATTTGTTTTTGTTTTTGATGACACTGCAGTTGGGTATACATTTGAATAATATAATAAATAATATGTGTATCGCATATAATATTGAGGACGCAAAGTGGCGCAGTGGTAAGAGCGCCCCATACGTTCATGGGATCAAACCTTGGTGCCATTGGAATTGTTTGAAATTTTTGAAATAACCTTGGAGCCCAAAACGACGCCATTTTGGGCGTGCAGCAGCAGTAGTATCCCCAAATCCTTCTTTAAGGCACCTCACATTCATGTTGAGGATTTTGTTGGCATGGCTTTACTCATGTTCCTCGTAAGGCTAATTCGGTTGCGCATGGATTGGCTAAGAAGACAAAGCAGCTTTCAGGTTTGAGGTGTGTAAGAGGAGCTAATTTAAGCCCACTAAATTAATTAGGCCCAATAGTCCAAGGTTGGTGGGCCTAAATTTATCGCAAGTCCAAGATTGGTGGGCCTAGATTTATCGCCATCAAACAGGCCGAATCGCTCTAAGCCTCGAAAGGGTTCGGATCCACGAACTTAGAGACTTACTCGGGCCCGGACTCGAAAGGGTATTGAGCAAGCCTAGAGATCCGAGGCACTCGGACTCGAAAGGATTCGGACCCACGAATCTAGAGATCCGAAGCACTTGGCTTCGAACGGATTCAGATGCAATCTAGAAGCCGCCCTATCAATGAGTCCCAGCACACTTGCGGACTTGGAGCTTTCCGGGATTTACGCACCAGAACCATGGGCGTAATGGAGTCTGAACAAAGGACCCGATCCCGAGGACGGTGAGTAGAGATAAATTCACTCTTCGGTTAAACTAGCCTATACCTGGGTCGAGGTGGCACGATCTATGGGGTCCCTGAGACTCGGCAATATTTGTGGCAGGGCGTTCTCTTGAACTACCCCTGACCCTTATGCGGCAGGACGTCCTTTGGGACTACTCCTGACCCTTTGGGATGATTGGGGATCATTGGTTAGGTGTGGCTAAGAAGAACGGTTCGTTGAGAGGTTGATCTCCTCTTTGGGGTTTTCCTCATCCTCGGAGAGGTCACCTCATCGGACAAGGTGGTTAGAGAGAATATTCCCCATGTGCCTTGCACATAGGCTCCATCCTACATCATGAGGTGCCTATAAATAGCACCCACCCATAGCTTTACAAGTGATGGATTTTTGAGCGATAATTCTTGGGAAAGAACTAATTTCCCTTCTCCATTATCAACCTTGAGAGTGAAAGTGGGAGATCCATGGAAGAGCCTTGCCATTATTCTCTCTCTAGCTACTTTGCCTTCTTCTTCACCCAATCTCTTATCTCCATCATCTTCTTTCTTTTGTGTTCTTAGTTGAGACTATTAAAAAATTTAAGCCTCTTATCATCTTCTAGAGAATTCGAATTTTTCTTCAAGGATCTTCGAAGATCTTAGAATTTTTCAACGACGTTCTTGAACCCCATCATACAAGGTGTAAATGGAGGAGGTCCCAACTAATCTGGTTTATTTGGTTGTTTCGAAAGCTTTGTAACTCTTTTTTGGTTAATTTAACTATCTTAAAAAAATAAAAATAAAATCCATTTCCATTATCCCTACCTACGTACATCTCACATCTACCTAATTTTACACAAATTAAATTGTCCACAAAAATCAAATTGATTTCAATGATGGATAACAAAGGTAGAGAAAGAAAAAGAAAAAAAAAAAAGATTTGAAATGAGGCATTTGAAGACACAAAGCAGAATAAGAAGCGAGTAAAACGATATTCATTAATAATTGATGAAATTTTGGTGTAAATAACCCTTATTTTGAAGTTACTTTTTATTTTTATTTTTTAAACTCAATAAAAGTTTTGAGAATTTTTTGGGGTCAAATTATAAATAAAATAAATTGAGGCAAAGTAAGACCATCCCCATCTTTTTCTTTATATTACCTTCTTAGCCAAAATAAAGAGTTTTTCTGTCAAAATACACCCCGAGTAGTTCTCTTATTTAACTCCCCAAATATAAGTATTACTACAATAACTTTTTATTTGTAGGGAGTTACTGTAACTCCCTCATATTTGATAAATTATTATTTTATTTTGTTGAAGGCGAGAATAATGTCCTCTCAAACGTTTCCTAGACATCTCCCCAAATATCCCGTAAGTGTTGAAACAAAATAAGAAAAATATTTAAAATTAACTTGATCAGTCGACTGGCCGATCGTCCGCTACTGTTTACTTTCCTCTGCTGTTAGCACGTGCTGTGATGTTGCATGTGTTTTTATTATTTTATTATTAAAAAAATATTTAAATAATTAAAAATATTATTTTAACAGAATAAAGAAATATTAGAGAATTTATTAGAAAGTAGATGAAAAAATTGACCCTTCAAATAGAAAATGAATTTTAAGATTAAAAAATAAATAAATTTTTTAATAATATTTTAAGATAAAATTTAGATAGTCTGGTGCTCTACCTCCGCCCTTTCATTTCTTTTCCGGCTGCAGCTCTCTCTCTCTCCGATAGCATTTCTGGGTGTTCTTCAATTTCTCTTTCTAGGTTTTTTTTTTTTTTTTTTTTTTTTTTTTTTTTCTATCACTTTCTCTTTGATTTTCTATTCTTTGATTTCTCTCTACTGGGTTCCTTTCCTTGATTCCTACACCATCAAGGCCATGACTACACTCAATCAGGTTACAATCTCAGCGCTGGAGGCGTTTTAACCAATTTGCAGCAAAGAATTATAAGGTATTTATTTACTTGGTTGAATTATCAAATCTTTAAATTTTACAGATTTTGATAGTTGTTAATTCTTTATGTGTAGTCTGTCTCTTTCACCCACACACTTTGTTTTCTTTCTTACTTTCTGGTGTTGTTTCTTGGAATCAAATTTCTAAATCTTGTTTAGATTCTTGCTCGATTCTATTTATCTTTAAAGTTGAATTAGAATTGCAGTTCTAGTCTTTAATTCCCCATTCCTTGTGGTATCAAAACTTCCTGGGTTGTTAGAGGGTAAAGTTGAGTGCTTGGTTGAATTCTCAAATCTTGAAATTTTAAGGAATTTGATAGTTAAGTTCTTGATTCTTTTATCTGTATTCTCTCTCTCAAGCTGGTGGTTGTTGGGATCGAGTTTCTAAATTCCTTTTCCAATTGTTTTTAAATGGAGTTATAAGTGCAGTTCTGGTCTTGAATTTCGTAATTCCTTGTGGGTTTTATCTTTCTTTGGTATTAAAGATTTCTGGGTTGTTGAAGGGTAAACTTGGATGCTTAGTTGAATTCTCAAATCTTTAAATTTAAAGGAATTTCATAGTTAAGTACTTGATTCTCTGTAGCTGATTTTTGGATCGAATTTCTGAATTCTTCTTCTAATTCTATTTAAATGGAACAAACCACAGCCACAGGAGAGAGAACCTGAAAGCTAGAGCGAGACAAAACGAAGAAGAAGAAGAAGGAGGAGAAGAAGAAGAAGAAAGAGGAGGAAGAGATCATCGGAGCTCCGACGCGACAAGATTCAATTCCAAGTTTCTCCGGTATCATCTACGGGTCAGATGGGCTCTTTATCTATCTCTCTCTCTCTCTCTCTGTGTTTTTTTTTTTCTCTAACTCCTTTTCTCTTCTTTATCTCTGAGTCTATTTTCAATGTTTTGGTTGATCACCATAGAAAAAGCTCAAGTCTGAAGAACACGGACCACTCTGTTTGAATTCCTTACAAATTCCTTTTTTGCCATTGATTGAAGCTTTTTTTCTTTTTGTGTTTTTAGTGTTATAAATTCGAGATTTCCTTTTTGTTTTTTGTTTTTTTTCTTCTTGGTTTTGGGATTTCGGAAGTTCCATGAAATTATTGTCATTCATTAAACCACACTACCAATGTCATGAGCTTCTGACAAATCATAGAAAATGAGTTTTGGGGTTTTGCATTTCTAACTGTGTTCAAAAGCCATCTCCAATTCTTTCATAAAATGTTCATCAAATCATAAGAGGGAATTTTTTAAAAAGATTTTGAAGAAAAAAATTATACTTCATATCAAATCGAACCTTTTACTCAAATTTGGAATCCAATTAGATGGGGGGAAAAAAATTTGATCAAGGGTTTTTTAAATCCTAGTTTGGATTTTCTGAATATTTCTTCATCTATAGATTCCAAGCCTTTCTATGCATATGCCCTATTTAATTAAAGAAAGCAGACAATTTCCATTGTGCTCACCTGCTGTTTGATCAAATGCCCAACATAGAACAACACTTGATGTTCATGTCACGAAATCCCAATAATGTGTTTTTACTGACATAAATTTTTATGTCAATGGTAAAATCTTGGCCTAATAACCTTGAGTTATGAGTTTTAAGTCTCGGGACAACCACTTTGTGCACTATGCAAAGGTTAGGTGTGTACCCAATCTTTTTCCTCCCAAACACACATTAATCGTTTTTTTAATTAAATTTTATTATTATTTTTGTCTCTCTACAGATTGTAGCAGCAATGTCGACTGCATCCAACACCATTTCCATACTATAATTGTGACAGATGGAAGTATAGCAAGTAAGAAGACCATCACAGCCATAATTTTGCCTGCCATATTTGTTTGTTTGCAAACATGTTAGTTCAAACGAGTTGAGCCAAGTCTAGTCGAGCTTTGCAAGGCTTGAGCTTGAAAATCAAGCTTGAGCTTGGCTCAAAAATTATTCCAGCTTGAGCTTGGCTCAGCTTGTTTGCACTAATCATGCTTGAGCTTGGCTCAAAGCTTGATAATGAAGAAAAAGTTTGGCTCAATAGTTAAGCTCGGTTGGCTCGTTAAATATTACTCTATATTAAATATGCATATATAACACATTTTGTATTATTTAAATAATAATAAACAGACCAAGCTTTATAAGCCAAGCTTATTCTAGCTCGAGCTTAAACAAGTCTAAAAATCTAGCTCGAGCTCTTTTTATACGTAGCAAGCCGAGCTTGTGAGCAGCTGGGCTCATTTGTAGCACTAGTCTTGTCTAAGAAGAGTTGTGCCATATGTCCCCAATTTTTTTTTTTTTTTTTTTTTTCCTTCCACCCGTGCCTCTATTGAAGCCTAATGTCATTAATAGAAATAATGGTAATAACAGGAGCTACAAAAGTCTCTCGATTTCAGTATCTCATTCATCTCTCAAAATTGTTCGTGATCGATCGCTAGACAGGCAAGTGGTGAAGCATAACAAGATTCGTTTTGTACAAAAATTAAAGACCCTACTTCTTTCAAAACCAAAGCATTACATGCCAATCCACATTCTTTCCAAATGCCGCTCTTATCTATCCCTACCAAAGCCTCGTTCCCTCCTCTCTATGATCCATCGTTACCCTTCAATTTTTGAACTCTTCACAATCCCAACGCCCCCAACTCCTCTTAACGCAACAAAATCATACTCTCAACTCTGTGTTCGTCTTACCCCAGCTGCATCAGCACTTGTGGCTCGAGAATCAAATCTCAAATCAACCATGTCTGTAACCTTGGCCGGAAAACTCCAGAAACTTCTCATGCTCTCCTCCCACCACCGTCTCCTCTTATCAAAGCTTGTTCACCTTGCCCCCGATCTTGGCCTTCCACCTAGTTTTCGATCCAAGCTCTGCAATGGCCACCCAGACAAATTCAAGACAGTTGACACCTCCTATGGCCGGGCACTTGAGCTTGTCTCGTGGGACCCACATCTAGCCAACCCTTTACCTGCTCTTGAAGTTAAATCCGGGTTAATTGTAGATAGACCTTTGAAATTCAAGCATTTGAGACTCCGAAAGGGGCTAAATGTGAAAAGACCTCACCGTGAATTTCTGATCAAGTTTGGAGAATTGCCTGATATGTGCCCATACAAAACCCCCATGGGGCAATTAGCGAAAGAGTCCATTGAGTCAGAGAAGAGGGCATGTGCTGTGGTGAGGGAGGTTTTGGGAATGATGGTTGAGAAGAGGACTTTGGTAGATCACTTGACACATTATAGGAAGGAGTTTGGGCTGCCCAACAAGTTGCGGGGGATGCTGGTGAGGCACCCGGAGTTGTTCTATGTGAGTTTGAAGGGACAGAGGGACTCGGTCTTTTTGGTGGAGGGCTATGACGATAGGGGCTCGCTTATAGAGAAGGATGAAATTTTGGCCATAAAGGATCAGCTAATGGAGTTGGTTAGGGAAGCGAAGCGAATGAGGCGAGAGAGGAGAAATGGTATCATTAACAACTATGTTGATGGTGAAGTTGATAACGAACATTATGGTGTTTATGCCAATGGTGACGATGATTATGATGATGGTTTAGATGATTTATTTGAATCTGACGATTTTGATGATGATGCTGGTGGTGGTAGTGATGATGAGAATAGTGATGATTTGGGCCTAGATGAGAACCATGAGTTTTGGACTGCTGAAGCTGCTAGTGTTGTCAACAGAGAGGGCAGCAAAGATTTGCAACCTTGGTAGTAACATCCAGTTTGCATAACTTTGCCAAAGGATAATTTTCTCTTTTAGTTTAATAAAATATGAGTGGCAACCTGGTAAGGGCCTGGGGTTTAAGCCCCTAGGTCCTGGGTTCAACTCCCCTCTGGGTCAATCTTTTGGGCGTAGCACAGTTGGTAAGGAGGTTGACCTCAAGGATGCCTTATCAGTTACTTGGTTTGGGTTTAATTCTCCTCCGTTGTGCGAGTCCTGACTTAAGCGGAGTTTGCCTTGGGAGGTCGGGACAAGCTTCCAGGTTATAGTCTCCTCCGTTGTGCGAGTCCTGACTTAAGCGGAGCGTGCCTTGGGAGGTCGGGACAAGCTTTCAGGTTATAGTCTCTTACTCGGAACGGACAACAGGACACTCTGGTGATCTCCTCAAACGGACAACAGGACACTCTGGTGATCTCCTCAAGGGGCGCTGTCTTGGATCTGCGGGAAAGTGCGAGGATTTTCCTATAACAAAAAAAAAAAAATGAGAAAATTGCTCTCGTAAATTGTAATGCATCCTATTTTGCAATGAATTTGGGCCTCGTTTTGGAACAAGCTCGTTTAGTAATTTTTTAGTTTTTTACGAAAAGATGTATAGATATGTAGAGAGAGTGATGTAATAACTTATAGTGACTTTTTAGCATTTTTGTTAAAACTTAAAGTTGCAAATGAGGCCTTAGATATGTCAATTACAACATTGTATTACAGATTTTAGTTTGCATGCGTCATCTTATTTGGACCCTAGCAAAAATCATTTCAACTGATTCAAGCCTTGCTTGGTAGTTGGTTTAAAATTGACTTTTTGGCTGAAAAATAGTCTTTAAAAAATTTTGGCAGAAAAAATTTAGGTTGCTTTTTTGGGTGAAGGAAATTTAGGTTGTTTGCCATGCCATGCCTTTGTTTGTTTGTTTGTTTTTTTTTTTTCATAAAAAATTTAATAATTCCTTTTTTTGGGTAACCATGTATTAGCTTTTTAATGAAAAATAACCAATATGGCCTTCATACTATTGCATTAAAATGCAACAATCTTATTTTCAAATGATTTTTTAGGCTTTTTTTGTAGAAAATTGAGATTTTTGGCTATTTGATGAGATAGTGGTTTTTGGTGAGAAAATGCACTTATTTATTTATTTATTTTTCTTAAGTAGGAAAATGAATTGAGCAAAGAATATTTTGGCCTTTTACCTTTTTAAATTTCAAAATCAGAAAGACAATTTTAAGGCTTTAGCAGGTTGCCAAAGGATTGCACCCATATACATTGCAGTATATCTTAGAATTTTTTACTTATTTATTTTCTATTTTCTTTTTTCGTAGGGTCATCAAATTACAACGTGAACAATTAAGTTTTATTTTTGATAAATTGTTATAGAAAAAGTTCAAATTTTTATAGGGCTATGTTTTATTTACTTTTACTCATTCCCATTAATACATTATGAATTACACTTTTAGAACTAATTTCAATTTACATAAAATATATATATATATATATATATTGTAAAAATTAAGCAACTTTTATCAAACAAAAGCATGTGTAACTGAATAAAAAAAATTATGGTACAATTTTCTATTGTCTCATACTATAGGAAACATATTTAGCAAAATAATCCAAAAAACTTAATTTTATTTATAGTTTTATCAAAAACCTATGAAAAATAATACAATATGTATATTTTACAAAGTGCACAATCCATATATCACAATTGAGAAGTTTGTGTTTTTGTTTATTTATTTATTTTTATTTTATGGGTTATGAACAAAAAAAAAAAAAAAAAAAACACAAAAACACAAAACACAAAACACAAAAACAAAAAATAGATAGAAAGGGAATAAAGGAAAACTGCATAATGCAACATAGTAATACCTAAAAATGACAATTTTAGTTGTCAAATTATGATTTGAGTATGGAATTGTCTTTTAAGTTTTGAATTTTTGATGTTTAGTTATGAGTTTTGAAAATATCTTTTGGATGATTTGTATTTTTTTTTTTTATTGATTGATCTATTGAATGTAAGAGTATGTGAGATGAGAGATGAGAGAGAAAAAATGATTGATTGATTAAATAATGATAATAATAGCAAATAAGAAAAAAAGAAAAGAGGAGCTTTGAAAGTAATTTTGCATTGTATTTTAAAAATATGTTTGATTAACATTTATTTATCTAAATCATGATTTAAAAATAGAATTAAGTTTTGAAAAGTAAACCAAACGCTATCAATAACTGACCCAATCCAATCCCAAAGACATTATGGCTGTGTTTGGTACAGCTTTTGAATCACGATTCTACCTTTTAGTTTGAGTGCGGCGTTTGTTTACAGTCTTCAAAACACATTTCCACACCCGCGTTTGAAAATTCGTGTACCCAGATGTCCCCTTGGACTCCGGCCGGTTGACCGGAACAGTGTTCTTGATTCTATTTTATTTTATTTTTTTGCACTTGTTATTTTTATATGTTAAATACAAAATATTTTCAATTTTTTTAATTTTTTTTTTTACATTTTTAATAGAATTTTAGATTGTGTGTTTGGTTATGAGTTATAAGTTTTTGTATAAAAATTATGTCACGCCACTCAATTCAATTTTTTTTTTTTAAAACTTATTCACCAAATAAATTTTATACACTCAAATCATAATTACAAAACTCATAAATTCAAAATACAACTCACATTCCCAAATTAAGTTTTTCCGATGCCCGACTTGAACAGGGAATATTGTGGACCATGACCGCTTCCCCGAACAAGAGATGGTTTATCACTCTTATTATTAATACTCGAATTTATCTTCCATACTTTAATGAGCTTTCGTGAAGAAAATGCTAGTTAAAACTACGAGAGCTAATTCTAGCAAGGCAAAAAATAACTCATCCGCCAAAACAATCTTTTGATCTCTATAAAATTATCTTTTAACTAAAGGCATTTTTATTAATTTTGTTTTATTAGAACCTAATCCAATTTTCGGAAACAAGGTTCCAATTTAAAATCAATCAATAAATAAATAAATATTGTTTTGAATAGACAATCAACTATGCAAAAGAAGAAGGAGCAGAAGAAGAAGAAATGTCGGGCCAACATTGGAAATGGGCTTCGTAGAGATCCAAGTTCAATTGGGTCAATTCAGAATCACAGGCCCGTCAAAAACCCTAACCCTGACCCTAGCCCTACTCACCGCCTATTTGCTTACTACAACAATAAAGTTTACGCTAGAGCTCTTACAAACCCTAGAAGCTTTGAGACTGACTCTGCGACGCAGCCATGGTATCTCTCTCTCTCTCTCTCTCTCTCTCTCTCTCTCTCTAGCTTAGCGTTTTGTTTCTGTTTGGTTGAAGAGAAAATGTAGGAAAAGAAAGAAATTTGAACTTTGGCCCGTCGATTTATTGAGATCTGATCATTTTTTTATTCTTTCTTTTAACTTTTTTGTAGTCTAGAGATGTATACGTTTCTGTGATCGTGCTAGGGTTTGCAATTGTAGTTGCTTGGAATTGGCTTGATATTAGGCAATCAAATTGTGATAAAGAAATAAAAAGTAAATAAATTGTCGAAATTGCTTTGAAATGTTTGTAAATATTTTGTCTTAATGCTAAAGTAATGGGTTATTCCATTAAAACTTTCATGTAGAAAGGAAGATCTTATTTCAGCTGCAACTAATATATTGTGGTGTCCATTTTCACATTTAGTGCAAAATATTATTTAACCACTTTATTGTTTTTGATCATCCCATATTATGTTTTCTATTTTTTATAAATCTTGGTTTTATTTTGAGATGCGATAGAAGTTTGTTTCAGCCATTTAAACCCTAAGATTGAGCTCCCATAGAAGTTTATGCTGTTACTACTGATTGCAGAAGAATGGGGAAAAGATTGATTATTTGTACATGAAAGAGACATTTAATAATACTGTGATTGAATGCACTCATAAAAAAAAAACTATGATTGGTTGTAACTGTTTTCGACCAGGCATGTTATTTTGTAAATGATATAAATTGATTGCCGAATTGTTAATTTGAGAGAAATTTTTCAATCTACTTTTATATTCATTAATGCTGTTATTACCTATACTAGTTTTGGACATTCTGGTAGATCTATAGTTTTTTTCTTGGAGATGGACCTCGACTTGGTGAGTTAAATAAATGTAATTTTTTTTTGAAATATTATTTTTTTGGATCATCTAAGAACTGCTCACAATTAACATTACTAGTTGGTCCCATTTTTTATTTTCATAGCTGACTTATTTATTCCCATGGTCTACATAAATTTTCTAATGCTGAAATTCAAACCTCAGTTTATTGTAATCATTTTGCTCTCATCTAGTCATACATCTTTGAAGTTCTTTATGTTGTATTTAAATGTAATATGATCCGTCTGTTGTAGGTTAACGTTCCAAAGACCAAGAAGACCTACTGCAAGTCGAAGGAGTGCCGGAAGCACACCTTGCATAAGGTTACCCAATATAAGAAGGGAAAGGATAGTTTGGCAGCACAAGGCAAGCGTCGTTATGATCGGAAACAATCTGGCTATGGTGGACAAACAAAACCAGTTTTCCACAAAAAGGTAAGAATCAATTTCCAACCTTCTCCTAATGTACGTTTTTCATTTCTAGTGGTGCTCATCCATGTATGCTAGCCCGCTTCTTTAGCCATAAAGATAGGAATCTTACCATTTCAGTCGAGGAAATTGTAGTGTAAAATATATGGTTGTTGGATTTCCCAGATTGATGATTATAGACTTGATTTATATTTGACTAGGCAAAAACCACTAAAAAAATTGTGCTGAGGCTGCAATGCCAGGGTTGCAAGCATGTATCACAGCACCCAATCAAGGTTAGCTTCGTAACTCTTAGTGACACATCCACATTCAGTGTTGGTTTGTTGTTGTTGTTGTTGTTGTCGTTTTTATTTTTATTTTTATGAATACTTAAAAAATTTATTGCAACTGTTTCTGCAGAGGTGCAAACATTTTGAGATTGGTGGAGATAAGAAGGGGAAGGGAACTTCTCTATTCTAAGTGGCTAGTGATGGGAAATTGCGTGTATCTTATCGTTTTGCAGCTGTTGCCTTGACCTTTCAATTAATTATTACCGTTTTTCAGTTGGAATGGAAGTCTCTGTTTTAGCCCCTAGTTTTCTAGATGTTGTTTTGGAATGATGTTATATGTTTCTTCCAAGTACTAATTGCTTTTATGAGATTGCAGTTTCACCCTTGCTCATTGGGGTTTTTATGGTTTGATGTCAAAATTTTTGGATTACAAGCTTTCTTACCTGTTGATTTCAAGTATGCCCTTTCTCCTGCTATACTGCAGTCTCATCCAATAACAATAAGAGACTACCATTGGGAGTGAATATGGAAATCTCAATATCATCTTTTCAGAATATGGGCTAGCTTTGCACTTTGTTACTGGTGTTTGAGTCATCACTGTGAGTGTTGATTCCCTCTTCCTATTTCCCATCCACTTGCTGTGCATTCTCATAGTTACTCGTGATTAGCAAAACAAATTGCACTCTTATCTCTTCTTTCTTCTTCCTCACCCAGGATCACCCACCTTTCAACCACCTTCTGTTGCTATGCCCAACCCCCCAACCAACCACTCCTATCTCTCGGCTGCACGCCCCTAGCCTCCTCGCCCATCTACCCTTGCCAATCACCCAACATAGACACAATTTGCCTCAAATCACAAAGCAACAATGGCACGCCATAATAGTCATCTTTATTGTGACTTCCACGCACATAAAGATCCGATTAGATGGTTGTAGCTGGTCTTTTGTCTTAATGCTAAAGTAATGGGTTATTCCATTAAAACTTTCATGTAGAAAGGAAGATCTTATTTCAGCTGCAACTAATATATTGTGGTGTCCATTTTCACATTTAGTGCAAAATATTATTTAACCACTTTATTGTTTTTGATCATCCCATATTATGTTTTCTATTTTTTATAAATCTTGGTTTTATTTTGAGATGCGATAGAAGTTTGTTTCAGCCATTTAAACCCTAAGATTGAGCTCCCATAGAAGTTTATGCTGTTACTACTGATTGCAGAAGAATGGGGAAAAGATTGATTATTTGTACATGAAAGAGACATTTAATAATACTGTGATTGAATGCACTCATAAAAAAAAAACTATGATTGGTTGTAACTGTTTTCGACCAGGCATGTTATTTTGTAAATGATATAAATTGATTGCCGAATTGTTAATTTGAGAGAAATTTTTCAATCTACTTTTATATTCATTAATGCTGTTATTACCTATACTAGTTTTGGACATTCTGGTAGATCTATAGTTTTTTTCTTGGAGATGGACCTCGACTTGGTGAGTTAAATAAATGTAATTTTTTTTTGAAATATTATTTTTTTGGATCATCTAAGAACTGCTCACGATTAACATTACTAGTTGGTCCCATTTTTTATTTTCATAGCTGACTTATTTATTCCCATGGTCTACATAAATTTTCTAATGCTGAAATTCAAACCTCAGTTTATTGTAATCATTTTGCTCTCATCTAGTCATACATCTTTGAAGTTCTTTATGTTGTATTTAAATGTAATATGATCCGTCTGTTGTAGGTTAACGTTCCAAAGACCAAGAAGACCTACTGCAAGTCAAAGGAGTGCCGGAAGCACACCTTGCATAAGGTTACCCAATATAAGAAGGGAAAGGATAGTTTGGCAGCACAAGGCAAGCGTCGTTATGATCGGAAACAATCTGGCTATGGTGGACAAACAAAACCAGTTTTCCACAAAAAGGTAAGAATCAATTTCCAACCTTCTCCTAATGTACGTTTTTCATTTCTAGTGGTGCTCATCCATGTATGCTAGCCCGCTTCTTTAGCCATAAAGATAGGAATCTTACCATTTCAGTCGAGGAAATTGTAGTGTAAAATATATGGTTGTTGGATTTCCCAGATTGATGATTATAGACTTGATTTATATTTGACTAGGCAAAAACCACTAAAAAAATTGTGCTGAGGCTGCAATGCCAGGGTTGCAAGCATGTATCACAGCACCCAATCAAGGTTAGCTTCGTAACTCTTAGTGACACATCCACATTCAGTGTTGGTTTGTTGTTGTTGTTGTTGTTGTCGTTTTTATTTTTATTTTTATGAATACTTAAAAAATTTATTGCAACTGTGAAGTGGTGATAGCGTCTACTTCTGAGCATTTCGCAACTGTGCTACCATCAGTAGTAGCATTGGAACCGCGAGTAACATTCCTCTTCGAAGGTTCATTATCTTCTGCAAAGACCCTCTGTTTGATGGCATCCTCGATTTGAACCCCCATTTCATGAAGGGCTGGAAAGGTAAACAGAGGTAGAACGACCATCTTTTGTAGTAACTTGCCATGCAGATTCCGGATAATCATCCTGATCTGATCTTTGTTGGAAGGCCTTGTAGTCATCATTGAGGCCTTCGCTCTCCATCTCGTCACGAACTCTGAGAAACCCTCCTTTGGCTCTTGGCGGGTGACTTCAAGATCACGAGTTGTGACCTCGATCTGTGTGTTGTAGGAGTATTGAGCAATAAAGGCCTCAGCTAGCTCTTCCCAATTCCATTTCACAGAGTTCTCTAATTTTGCATACCAGATTGCGGCTATCCCAGACAGGGTTCGGCCGAATAGTGACAATTTATGGGCTGTGGTCAAACCCATTGGCCTCAAGATATCAGAAAACAGCTGGAGGTGCACCATTGGGTCTTCAGAGCCATCGAATCGATCGATATGTGGCATCTTGAACCGATCCGGTAATGTCACCACTGAGTCGGTATAACCGTCCTCTATATCGGGAATAGAGTGGGCCCCCTGAGACTTTTTGAACAATTTCTCAAGCTTGCTCACTTTCAATGCCATGGGATCCGTCTCGAACTTAAAGGGGGGATCCGGTGGGTTGATTGGTGCTTTAGACAGCTGGGGTAGAACCGGGGGCGGAGCTGGCCCGCCTGGAATGTCCGTATCATCCTGGACGTGGGTTGCCTCCTCGAGTATGGGAACTCTTGGTGGGGGAGGAGCCTGGTGTGAAGTATATACTCCGGTTTGCTGCTCTAACCTGGCAATTGTCTCTGCCTGTTGGGCTATGACCACAGCCTATTGTTTGGCGAATTCCGCTTGGCGGACAGCATCTTGCTGCATGAGTTTCATACTTTCTTGCATCTGGCGCATCATTGCCTCCATCCCTGATGTGTTCTGCTGATCCATCTAACTGACTGGTATCTATCCCTGCAGTAGAAACTGAGACCTCAGCCTGACTGTTCACTGGTGGGGTGGATAAGGGCCACTGATCTGGTAACTGCTGAACTGGTGATTTGTACCTGACTGGCCCTTTTACCCTGCCTCTGGTAAAGGAACACTGATTGCCCTTGAACTGAATCTCTGACCTGACAAAGTCTATCAGCACAAGTTCGATGAACCTCGGGGGATATCGGAGCCTTCTGAAGCTATGGTTCCCAGACTACCCTAGCAAAAGAGAAAACACGCAGCATCTCAGCCTAACTTCACCAAAACAGATACGAGCATAACAGGATGACTGTGCCCTCTACTGAACTCTGCCCCAAAATTCAGCCTGTAAACTGTTACCCTTTGGTAAACCGAATCCCAAAATGCTGAACTGGTGCCCGCAGGCCTGATGCCCAAACTTGTAAACTGATACAGACATTCGTATAGAGACGCACTCTAAAGCACATAACAAGCAAGTGAGAGCCAAAACACCCCTATGTTGGGGTAGGGTTTCCCTGTCCTATTTTGTTAAGAGCTAGGGTTTCACTACGCACGCAGCGATTTCAAACAACCTATATTGGGTAAGTAACCTGTCCTAGTTTGGAATGGTCACTATGGATCCGAATATGCACTAGGTCGAATGGTCAAAAAGGGTGCCCCGGTAAAACCGGGGTTTGTGTTCCCATACTGGCAGAGCCCACAACCGGTCAGCCTTATGGTCATGTCTTGACAAGACAAGCCTCCGGCAAACCGTTCAGGAATAGCAGATGGCAAACACGGTATCCTAGGCGCACCAATGCAAATGCAATGCAAAGAAACACACAAGTGTAGTCAAAAATAGATATCATGAGTTCGAGTCAAGTTCTCTAACTCCCCAGCAAACTCGCCAGAAACTGTAAACGTCCCCCGAACGCCCCGGGAGAGGAACGAGTCCCCCCGTTCCATTTGATATTGGGCTCACTACAGTTCAGGACTCAAATTGTCACGGTTCTAAATCTGAACCAAAGATTCCAAATCCGGCAAATCGTTTTGAGAAAACAGATTTTTAGAAAAGAAGTGCCAAACATGGACTGCTTTGCCAGATACAGAGTCGCCACCTAAATATTTTTTATGGGGGAATTTAGGAAACCCTGACTCGGTGCCGAAGGCCACATGTCCGTCATCACCGGAGTTGTCTCGGCTCGGGAGCTTGGGTACGATCGGGGAAAGGCAGCTATGAGCACCCCCTCTCGCCCGATCCGAAGATCGGCCTCTACTAACCGTGATATCCGTTTGTATAAATTGTTAGTTGCCATCAGTGGCTACAATTTGAATCAGAACAGTGTAAAAATAAATAAGTACTGTGTTTTGGGTTACCTCGTGTGCCGCGACTGCGTCGAAATAATGGTGAAAAAACATAAAGGGCTCGCGAGTCCTATGACCAAGCTAGCCATCGAATACTTGACAAAAGGGGATCATCAATGCGACCTCCACTACAGGCTCTGGGGCCAAAGTCAGAAAGTATGCATATACCCATAGCTGCAAGGAAAGTGCAATTATATGCGGTCAATAGTGCATGAACAGATATAGAAAATGCAGAGCAGAAAGCATACAGTGCATGAATAGGTATAGAAAGTACAAAGCAGAAAGTACATGTGTTGAACAGATGTAAAACAAGAAATGCTGAACAAAAAATGCAAAATGAAAAGAGGGAACTAAGCTGTGTACCTCCCAGGCTCACCAGTAGGCTCCGATCAGGTGTCCTCTCCTGCGGGAGGTCGAGCTCATATAGCCGTACAGGGTCGTGAGCCCGGCTCCACCCCAATCATAGAAGCTCACTCGGGGAAGGACCACCAGTGCGCTCAGCAAGTATGGCCATACGGTATTCGCCCTGTTCGCAAACAGGGTGGTACCGAGAAGGAACATCATAAAACCTTGAGCGTAGTGCTCTGTCTCCTCTACTGTCTCTAACTCGGTCCCTTGGAACCACTCCTCAAACTAGCTGTATCTAACCTGGGCTGTCCGGAACAAAGGCAAGCGTGCGCCCAAGAGCTTAATCCAAGCAGCCTCCCACTCCCCCATGTCAGGGTCGAGAGGAATCAGATCACCCCTACGCCTAGACCCGTGATCATGGCAAAGTCGTAAGGGGTCATCGTTATCTCTCCCACAGTGGAAAGGTGGAGAGAGTTGGTGGTGTTTCACTATCTGTCCACTAATGCCCCAAGAAATGGATGGCTTACTATGACTCGTGACAATCTGGAGCAAAATAGGCCAAAGCCTGCCTCGTCAATGATAGCTCGTACTCCGGCAGGGAGCTCGTCGTACCAGTCTCTGGCCTTCGTGGCCCCATAACCCCTATATGCGCGGGTGTCGTCCTGAGGTAGAAGATAGATGAATCAGTAGAGATACAGTTTAATGAAAAGAAAGTGCAAAGCAGATCCAATTGTATTGATGAAAATACAGTTCGATAAGAGGCAGTGCAAGAAATGCAAGTAAAGAAAATTAGATGTGTGAATGCATAGAATTCATACCTCTTATTCAGGTTCTAGAAATGCTCCACTCTACAAACAGAGGCTTTCAAAAGAAAAACGGTGGCCTTTTCGGGGCGAAACTGAACATGTGCATCCTCCACTTCCCGAGACGGAGCAGTGGCAGCGTAGTTTAATTGCTTCATTTACCTACACTTGTATTGTAACTTAATTAGTTATCTTAGTAGCTAATTCAAGTGTTGTAATAATTAGCTTAGTTTAGCTAGTTAGTTAGCTTATGTTATTCGGACCCTCCTTTGCGAGGGCGTAATGTTGCAATAAGTGTGCGTGTGTGCTTGTGTTGTATGTCTTCCAACCCCACGTCTTTCTCCCTCTTATTGGAAATGATCAAATCCTCAGCGTATCCTGGAGGCATCTGCAAATACATTGGAAATGATCAAATGTCTAGAAGCAACAGATATCAGAAAGTGATGAAAAAAACTGAAAATGTGACACATACTAGAGGTACGTCACGAGATCTGACATATCTGTGCCCTGCTACCGTAGGCTCAATAGGGACCTGGTGAGCCTCTCCAGTGTACAGCCAACATATAAGTGTAGTAGGCAGCTCCTACCAGCCGGTCCTTTGCCTCACCTGGGAGGCCCCTCTGCCATAGACCCTGGCTGCGCTGGTCACTCTGGGCCCTATCCTCGCAAAAGAAGCTCTCGCTCCCTCACCTCCGCGAACACCGGTCAAAGGTGGCATGAGGTGTGTCTGAATAAAGACTGCATAATCACCCTCAACCTAGAAGTACTCTACCTCCAGGCCTACCATGAACTGGATAACTCTGTCAACAGATAAGCTATCTACTGATCTCATGGACTCGAGAGGAGTCATCGATATGAACTGGGTAGGCATGCCTAGAGACTGGTGTACAACTCTCTCGCCAAGGTACCAGGCCCGGCAAACCGGCCACTCAAGAAGAATGCGATGACGAGAAATGCCCCGGGCCGCATTATACCGGCCTCCAACTCTTCTCGGTATCATAGCCCATGGCTACTATGAGATCTACAAATGGAAGTTGTATAAATTGTTAGTTGCCATCAGTGGCTACAATTTGAATCAGAACAGTGTAAAAATAAATAAGTACTGTGTTTTGGGTTACCTCGTGTGCCGCGACTGCGTCGAAATAATGGTGAAAAAACATAAAGGGCTCGCGAGTCCTATGACCAAGCTAGCCATCGAATACTTGACAAAAGGGGATCATCAATGCGACCTCCACTACAGGCTCTGGGGCCAAAGTCAGAAAGTATGCATATACCCATAGCTGCAAGGAAAGTGCAATTATATGCGGTCAATAGTGCATGAACAGATATAGAAAATGCAGAGCAGAAAGCATACAGTGCATGAATAGGTATAGAAAGTACAAAGCAGAAAGTACATGTGTTGAACAGATGTAAAACAAGAAATGCTGAACAAAAAATGCAAAATGAAAAGAGGGAACTAAGCTGTGTACCTCCCAGGCTCACCAGTAGGCTCCGATCAGGTGTCCTCTCCTGCGGGAGGTCGAGCTCATATAGCCGTACAGGGTCGTGAGCCCGGCTCCACCCCAATCATAGAAGCTCACTCGGGGAAGGACCACCAGTGCGCTCAGCAAGTATGGCCATACGGTATTCGCCCTGTTCGCAAACAGGGTGGTACCGAGAAGGAACATCATAAAACCTTGAGCGTAGTGCTCTGTCTCCTCTACTGTCTCTAACTCGGTCCCTTGGAACCACTCCTCAAACTAGCTGTATCTAACCTGGGCTGTCCGGAACAAAGGCAAGCGTGCGCCCAAGAGCTTAATCCAAGCAGCCTCCCACTCCCCCATGTCAGGGTCGAGAGGAATCAGATCACCCCTACGCCTAGACCCGTGATCATGGCAAAGTCGTAAGGGGTCATCGTTATCTCTCCCACAGTGGAAAGGTGGAGAGAGTTGGTGGTGTTTCACTATCTGTCCACTAATGCCCCAAGAAATGGATGGCTTACTATGACTCGTGACAATCTGGAGCAAAATAGGCCAAAGCCTGCCTCGTCAATGATAGCTCGTACTCCGGCAGGGAGCTCGTCGTACCAGTCTCTGGCCTTCGTGGCCCCATAACCCCTATATGCGCGGGTGTCGTCCTGAGGTAGAAGATAGATGAATCAGTAGAGATACAGTTTAATGAAAAGAAAGTGCAAAGCAGATCCAATTGTATTGATGAAAATACAGTTCGATAAGAGGCAGTGCAAGAAATGCAAGTAAAGAAAATTAGATGTGTGAATGCATAGAATTCATACCTCTTATTCACCCAAAAAAAAAAAAAAGAATTCATACCTCAAGGAGCGTGGCTGAAAGATAGAAGTTTGGCTCCCTCAATAAGAGATCCGCTGGTGCATCAGCGAAATCAGTGAAATGCCTAATGCCTCCGGCAGGCAGAATGTGCATCTGGAGATGATACCTCGTCGCGTCAAAAGGCCTCACTTCCAGTGGCAAGGGCTCTGGCTTTGCATCGCATCAAACTCTGCCTCTAGAGGAGCCCCGCCATGTGGAAAGTCGTCTGCCATCTGGAATATAGATGAAGAGTCGATGAAAAGTGAAGAAAATATGGAAAATGGGTGGAAAATGCCAAAAGTCAACTCAAGTCAACCCTAAGAGAGAAAATCAGGAAAAAAACTCAAAACCTTGGAAAAAGCACGAAACTCAAGAGAAACTCTAGGGGAACAAGCCTCGAGGAGTGAAACTCCAAGAAAAAGTGCCGAAATCAAATTTCAATCGGTTAAAAACGAAGGAAATCAAGAGGTTTTGGCGATTCAACTTCGCGTAGGGCGTTGGCAAACGCGTATAAAGCTCGAATCTAGAGAGAAGAAAGGTCTAGAGAGAGAGAGAAAGATTTCAATCATGGGGTATGGAGGAAATAAGCCCCCATGACCTATACATAAAGACCTGAGTGCAAAAAGACCAAAATGGCCCAATCTGCCATCGATGGCTAGTCGGCCACCACTAGTGGCCGACAGCCTTCAGATGTGGCCGATATATGGCCGACACCCCTTCCTGGTGGCTGTCAAGCTTCCAGTGCTCCTCTCTTTTGTTTTTTCTACTATGTTGGTCCCTGTTTCCCAAGAGGCGCAAGGAAAGGTTATTGTTGAGCTCAAATCCTCTTTGTGGAAGCTGGAAATTGTGTTCTCGATGATCATTGTTTGCCTCTTATTAGACGAAATATATCCGCTACTATGAGATCTACAAATGGAAGTTGTATAAATTGTTAGTTGCCATCAGTGGCTACAATTTGAATCAGAACAGTGTAAAAATAAATAAGTACTGTGTTTTGGGTTACCTCGTGTGCCGCGACTGCGTCGAAATAATGGTGAAAAAACATAAAGGGCTCGCGAGTCCTATGACCAAGCTAGCCATCGAATACTTGACAAAAGGGGATCATCAATGCGACCTCCACTACAGGCTCTGGGGCCAAAGTCAGAAAGTATGCATATACCCATAGCTGCAAGGAAAGTGCAATTATATGCGGTCAATAGTGCATGAACAGATATAGAAAATGCAGAGCAGAAAGCATACAGTGCATGAATAGGTATAGAAAGTACAAAGCAGAAAGTACATGTGTTGAACAGATGTAAAACAAGAAATGCTGAACAAAAAATGCAAAATGAAAAGAGGGAACTAAGCTGTGTACCTCCCAGGCTCACCAGTAGGCTCCGATCAGGTGTCCTCTCCTGCGGGAGGTCGAGCTCATATAGCCGTACAGGGTCGTGAGCCCGGCTCCACCCCAATCATAGAAGCTCACTCGGGGAAGGACCACCAGTGCGCTCAGCAAGTATGGCCATACGGTATTCGCCCTGTTCGCAAACAGGGTGGTACCGAGAAGGAACATCATAAAACCTTGAGCGTAGTGCTCTGTCTCCTCTACTGTCTCTAACTCGGTCCCTTGGAACCACTCCTCAAACTAGCTGTATCTAACCTGGGCTGTCCGGAACAAAGGCAAGCGTGCGCCCAAGAGCTTAATCCAAGCAGCCTCCCACTCCCCCATGTCAGGGTCGAGAGGAATCAGATCACCCCTACGCCTAGACCCGTGATCATGGCAAAGTCGTAAGGGGTCATCGTTATCTCTCCCACAGTGGAAAGGTGGAGAGAGTTGGTGGTGTTTCACTATCTGTCCACTAATGCCCCAAGAAATGGATGGCTTACTATGACTCGTGACAATCTGGAGCAATTCGACTCCTCGGCCATCATGCATCGATATGCGTGATTGGTGGTACGAGGATCGAGGACTACACTCCCTGAAGAGTAGTCATGCATACATATGTGAAAATACTTTGCCATGCCCCTTTGTTGCTCTCTGTTGCAGTAAATCAGAAATCAGCGGCCTTCTGGAGCGTTGCGCAATATTTTGAAAACAATTGCAAACAGAGGCGAATCGGGGCATCGTAATCGATTTCCGCGCCAGGCAACTCAAGCATGCATCATTCCACCATTCGGAGCAAAGCTGAGACAGTCCATAGGCTTACATGCTAGTTTATCATTTTCCTAGTTAATTTGTTAATTCATTAGGGTTTTGTAATATTTAATTATTCATTTCGGACTGTAATTATTTATTCAGACTGTATTATTCTTTTGGACCCTCCGAGCGAGGGCAATGTTGTAATAAGCGTGCGTGTGTGATGTATGTCTTCCAACCCCACGTCTTTCTCCTTTTTATTTACCAGCTTATGATGGTTAGATTAGGGCATGTTTCAATTAGCATATAGTATGATAGCATGTTTGCATTCATTCACCTGTCTTGCATGCGCCAGGCTCGGCGCATCATACTAACTGCATTTATATTTCAATTCCAAGTTAGATACTTGTTAGTTGTAGCATTTCATATGCCATGTTTAGAATAGCCGAGCCTATCTTAGTTGCATTTTGCATGTGTTGCATTAGGCATTTCAGCATAGTTAGGATCATGCATTGATTTCTAGCATAGTTTTTGTTTTGGCTTGGAGTACTAAGTAAGCTTTTATGCTTTAGCATCCTTGCATGCGTGTGAGTGACTGCCATGATAGCATGCTTACTATGAGGCTATGTGCTTATATGATATACCTGCCTGAATGCCTGTGGGTGAAGGTTGGATTATCCGAATTGGAACAATTCATCAATTGTGAGTTTTAAGCCCGCTTGAAAGTGGCAAATCATCATGTTTTCTAAGCTCACCTGAGGGTGGCAAATCCACATTTTAGCCTACTTGCGAGTAGCAAACCGTTTTTTTAAAAAAAACAAACATGAGATGTTTCGTTCCAATTCAGGCGACCCAGTCTATATTTGTATGCTGTGGGCATCACATAGTAAATATAGGCTAATAACCGGAATAAGAACGCATAATGTTTTCAAAACTAGATATCATGGTTAGTAGAGGCCGATCTTTGATCGGGCGAGCGGGGGTGCTCACGAAGATATAATGGATTCAAGTTTAAAAAAAATCGAACTCACCATAGCAGCCATTGCGATAGGAAATGAGCGAGACCCATTGGTATGATTGTACGGCAATTGACTCCTATTACTCTTGCCAGCTTTTGACCGTTTCTAAAAATAAGTCAAGCAGATAAACAATATTTTTTGTCAATATTAAGGCATATCACATTTTCACATAGATGTATGTACTCTATCTAGTCTATTATTTTACCTGGTGAGATGCATCTTGCCATGCCACATCGATCAAATGCTTCCAATTATCTAAACTCACCCCTATGGGCGGATGACCATAGATCTCATCACGTGGAAGTCCTTCTAACAATTTGAACTCTTGCTTCAAGGTGTACCTCCAATCTTTGTACAACCCATAGGCCTTCTTATTCACAATCTCCTGTGCTTGTAAGTCATTGTGGAAATCGTCTCCAATTTGAAACTTGTCCTACATGCAAAACAAATTGAAATAGTAATCATTACATATTAGTCTTTCTTATTACTCACATAATACAATTACATATTGTGGACAAGTAATATTAGTTACAAGAACTCCTTGGATGACGGCAGCTTTAGTAGTCTCATCAAGATCCAGCCATGACTTCACATCTTTCAAAGGGCACAAGGTTCTAATTTGAATTCCTAACTCGTTAGTTGCTGGAGTGGCATACTTGCCAGTCATTGCATTCAACCCACGATCGATGTGAACATAACATTTTTCCCCTTTGTTGGCTCTAATTATTTTTTGTATGCCCTTGCCAAGTGTCGGTCCACGTACACGTAGGGGCTTCGAAGTCCCTGTTAACAACATAACATCATGAAAATTGCCTAAAATTTGGCTACAAAAAAACAATGGCAATGGCATGTGGTAATTGACAAATTTTATACACTTCATTCTTACCTACGCCACTCGGCTGCGTTTCGGATGGGGCTTGTGTCTCATCAGAATCATCCATTGGTTGGCTAGTGACATGATGAGATGGTCCCACATTTGATCGGACGGGTACAACAGGAGACGGAGCAACGGGTGATCCTAAAGGAATAGCAGCCGGCGAGTCTGTTTCTGGCTGCGTGAGTGTCTTCTTCCGAAGCCGACCAGTCTTTAAGCCAGGAACCATTTTCCAATCTGCAATAACATAAGTAACACTATATACATGAACTAGACAAAAATAAGTCCGCTTGATTATTGCAGACAAAAATAATACATGAACTAGACAAAATTAACACAATAACAAAAATAATACATGAACTACACCATTTTCCATTTTCCATTTTCCTATATACATGAACTACACAAAAATAAGTCCGCTTGGTTCATGCATATAGCAATAAAGAACTGTTTGTAGTTCAAGCACGTGTCCGTTAGTGGTTCATCAGAGGTGCTTGAGCTCTGCACCCAGCTTTGATGACAGTGGGAAATTTTACTGCCCTTTTTGTGCATATTCTCATGCAATTTTGAAGTACTTTGAAGTCAAGAAAAAGGCGTCTTTAGCTAGGAAAGATCTCGCTGCTTTCATTGGATTGGAGAATGGACATCGGGCAAACAAACTTTGTAAGAGATTTCTTAGATCAGAGCAAAATCAGTTGAGACGAGATGACAACGTGAATGGAAACAATCAAACAAACTACAATGGAAACCATGTAGATGAAGTCAATAGTTCTCAATACAGAGAAAATGTAGAAGCTAAGCAACAAGCAGAACCTTCAGTATCAGGCTTTAATGGCAATCTATCTTGTCGAGAAGGTGGTGTGACCGTAAATGATGGAACACTTGCGGAGACACAACAGATTGATGAACGGTCTGGTTCTAAGCTTCATGAAGATAATCCATCTTGCAGAGACGCAGAGATTGTCGATGTGACCAAGATACTTGCTGGAGATGGAAAGCAACAGGAAGTTTTACAACAACCGATTACTGATTCAACCCAAAAAGCTGCATGTCCACCGAATGCTGACGCAGAGGAAAGTTCTGAAGAAGAAAATGATAAGACCTCTTCTAATTACTCCAGATCAGTCAGAAGAAAAGAAAAAAAGTAGTGAGTTTGTCGTATTTGTAGATGATAGGGGTGTTTATTTTCTGCATGTCTATGCTAAAGTAAATCATTCTATTCTAACCAGCATCCAAACACTAATATGTTCTTAATTGGCAAATTTCTGTTAAATAATTGATCTTCCTTTTTATCAACTTTAATTTGTTGCAAGTATTTGAATGTCCAACAACTGTATGTCCTCTCCCATCCTCATGTATGCGCTTGGTCTTTTGAATACTCTGATGTTGGATTTGGGTGCTGCTAATTTGATTGATAAGGGATGAACTTTGTTCCAATCTACAGCACTTACCCGGCAATTCCTCAGTTGAGGCAAAAGAAACTCCCAAAAGCAACAGGAAGTTTTACAACAACCGATTACTGATTCAACCCAAAAAGCTGCATGTCCACCGAATGCTGACGCAGAGGAAAGTTCTGAAGAAGAAAATGATTAGTATTAAATTGGTATTAAAGTTCTGAAGAAGAAAATGATTAGTATTAAATTGGTATTAAAGTTCTGAAGAAGAAAATGATTAGTTGCTGACGCAGAGGAAAGTTCTGAAGAAGAAAATGATTAGTATTAATTTGGTATTAAAATGATTAGTTCTGAAGAAGAAAATGATTAGTATTAAATTGGTATTAAAGTTCTGAGGAATAAAATGATTAGTATTAAAATGCTGCATGTCCACCGAATGCTGCATGAAAAACGTACAAATCTCGGGCTCTATCAAATTAGTATTAAATTGATTACATACCATGTGTTGCTTACTGTTGCTTGGCACCAAAGGACACGAGAAACCGTTGCAAAAGCACTTCAAATAGGATATCGTCCTACAAATCAACAATAGACAAGTGTTTAAATGGATGTAATGGACATATTTTGTGTATTCTCATTTGCGACGGCATTTTACCGTCGCAAAAAATCAATTTTTTTGTAGTGAACTATATAAACTGAACTTAGGTTGACCCGTAGACTGCCTATCAATAGCAAAAAATATTCTGTGATTTTTTATCAAACTGAACTTAGGATATAGCAGGTCTAAACTATTTTTTATCAAATGCTCTTTTGCTTTTTTAAAGTCAATGTCCATGTTCTCTCAATAGCAAAAAATCTTCTAAATTGGTAAACAAACAATACTCAAGAAAACCATAAAATAGAGCAGAGGCAGACTGTTCAAAATCTGTTCAAAATCTGATACATATTTCAAAGCCAGACTGTTCAAGCAGACTGTTCAAACTCTGTTCAAAATCTGTTCAAAATCAGTTACATATTTCAAAGCCAGACTATTCAAAATCTGTACACATACATATTACAATTGAATTCAAACTAACCCTTCCTTCATTTATTCATGGTTAACTCTTACTCTAATCTCTATCTACAAAACCATAAAATAGCAACAACAAAGCATAAAACAGAGCAGAGGCAGCCCCAAACGTGAACCTAAAAACATCCACACAGTTGCAGCACAACAAAAACCCATTGCAAAACAGAGCAGCAACCAGACAAAACCAGCTTTACAGCCATACCAGCCATACCAGCATAGCTGCAGCCAAACAAATGCAGACCAGCACCCTTCCATTTGACAGCAGCCCAACAAAACACCACATTTAAAGTAGGCCAACCATTTGACAGCAGCTCTAGAGAATGTACTCCAGGCCCCCTCAGAAAACATTCTACTTCACACAGTAAGCAGCAGTTAGATACCAAAGCTACACCATAAACTTCACTACCAAAGATACACCAAAAATGCCTCCCACTACATTCTGGACAGCAACTCTTCCAGGGCAGATCAGCAAAGGCAGGGCAGAGATAAACCAGAGGACTGGAGCATTGAAGCAGAATCATTGAACATAAAATATTACCATTAAAGTGAAAGGTTTCATCTCCAAATAGATAATTTACAACAGTATTTTTTTAGTTCTCATTGAGCATTTTTTTACAACAGGATTTTTTTAGTTCTCATTGAGCATTTACAACAGGCTTATGTGCATCAGCAATTAGATTCAGCATTCTGCACCAATTGAACATTCACATTGCTCAAATTATGGCATGAACTAAAGCACGACCAAATTCAAGATTCTACATCAACATCTGTATCAAAATCACTTTGTAGGTCATATTCTTCGTCTGTGTCGTCACCCTCCCTCATCAATCCATCTTCATCATCACAGATGAAGGAATCATCTGTAACACCCTTGGCTTCTACCCCTCTGACAGATTGCAAAACTTCCAAGGGAATAATTTCAGAATCAATATCATCTCGACGCAAAGCCACATCATCATCAATAGCCATAGTAGGTACGACCTCGGTGGTTTCTTCTTGTTGGAACGCATCATCAGGTTGTACGACATCCATCTCCGGCACATCCCAAATTCCTCGATGTTCAAACTTTTCAACGACTCTCCAACTGGTACCTAATTTGGTGTCATTAACATAGAATACTTGTTCAACTTGACTTGGTAATACAAATGAGTCATCTTTGTACCAACGACTTGTTACATCAACTGTTGTGAAATGTGGCTCTACACGCATAGTTCTACTACTACCGCTGTTAAACCATTCACATTGGAACAATACAATCCGACGTGTGAACAAATAGTTCAGTTCCCACACTCTGCACAAGTGTCCATAGAAGTGTATCAATTGCCCTTCATGCTCCCCTTCCACGACTAATCCACTATTCTGACTTTTCCGACAGTTGTCACGGTCGATAGTATGATAACGGACACCATTACAAATACATCCTGAATATGTGTTCACTAAGCCACTAGGACCATTGGCTAATGACCACATATCATCAGTTGCTTCAGGGGAATGTTGGCTCCGCAATTCATTCATCTACATGAAGAACATGTGTCATGTTACTAGCATGCGTAACATTTACGTAATGTACGATCTATGGTAGGATATGAGAATACTAGCTTACATGATCTTTGAACCATTTAGGAAATTCTTTTCGATGTCTGTTTTCGATGTCGAACGCACCGGCTCTTTGGTGTAACAAGTTCTTGTGCTCCCTAGTTACAAGAAATGCGATTCAAAAACTATTTACTAAAATAAAGACTAATCAATTTACAACAAAAACATTATAAATACGTATGAAGGATTCATACTCTACGTGTTTATCCACTTCTGTGCTATTGTGTAGGACAAACCAATGAGCCAACTCGCGCTCAGCTACGGACACATCGGACGCCCTTGTCATTAGACCAAAGGGACGTACAGTTTGAGTGAATACCGCCAACCCTAGGCCACGGTCACCCATGTCATAATTCCTTTCTGGGCGGTTAAACAATGTTTCAACTCCATCCAAATACATTGAACAAAATGTTGTACATTCTTTGGAAATGTAAGCCTCGGCAATAGAACCTTCAGGACGAGCTTTGTTGGCCACAAACCCTTTTAGACGGCCAAGCAACCTAATTTTGCAAGCATCATAACAATGTTATACTGCAATATTCATATCAGCAGTAAAGCATTAACTTAAATTTGACAGTAATACGAGGGCTGAGTTAATACCTAAAACTTCTAACTTCTGTCACATTTGACAGTCTAGGCCAATCCACGACAGCTTCAATTTTCTAAGGGTCAATAGAAACACCATCCTTGTTGATTACATGTCCCAAAAATGACACACTGTCAAGCCAGAATTCACACTTGGACAATTTAGTATACAGCCTCTTCTCTCTCAAAATCTGCAAGGTAGTTCTCAGATGGTTCTCATGTTCCTCTTTGTCTTTAGAATAAATCAGAATGTCATCGATAAACATAACAATGAATTTGTCAAGATATTGTTTGAAAACCCTATTCATTAGGTCCATAAAAGCTGCAGGTGCATTTGTTACTCCGAAAGGCATTACCAAGAATTCATAATGTCCATATCTAGTTCTGAATGCAGTTTTCTCTACGTCTTCTGCTTTAACCTTTAACTGATGATAA